AAAGGTCTCAAACCTGCGCACCATGCCCAGGGCCTGTGGCTTGCTATTTCCCAAGGCCTATTATTTAGAGACTGTGTGTATTACCCTATCAGACAGTGGTGCCTCCTTCCCAGGCTTGCTCACCTGGCCACTGTCTCCTTCTGGGCCCTGGAAGGGTGTATCAAAGCAACAGAACAAGTCAGAGGCTATTTTTTTTTCTTGTTCAGACTCTAGGTTGGTATTGTTCAGCATCACAGACACACCCGTTTTAATTAATTATGAAGTGTGTTTTGCAAGGCAGTTTTCTGCTTTATACAGGATACTTTTTCTTTTTTTTTTTTAAAGGGGAAATCATTGTGAAATTGCATGGTGATTAAGACACAAGCAGCTGGAGGCAGTCTTGGAGTAATGTGTGCTCGGGTGCGTTTTCTCATGAAGACTGTGGATTGCAAGGTCCCATGAAAAGATGCTTGGGCCTCTTTTCAGCCCTTAGCTTCTTTTCAGAATACAAGGCACCATGTCTTGGCCTTATTGAACATCTGGGCCTCACAGTGAATAACTAGAACTCCAATGACGATGAGTCTCTCCTAAGATCTCAGGTTTTCAAAGGTGTGCACTATTTAAAAATTGTGCACTATTTAAAGTTTGAGCCCAGGTCCTTTTTTTTTTTTTTTTTTTTTTTTAGGAAGGACAACATTTTTAGGAAGGCACATTTTCTTTTACTACAGTGCATTTTGGATGAAGAGGCAGGAGTTGGGATGAGGGGTTAAAGCCACATGATGCCAGGGGCAGAGCTGACACTGGGAAGCCCATTGAACAGTAATCCAATCTGCGCATCAGAACTCGAGGCCCACAGACTGATTCAGCGACTGGCCACGTCTGAAGAAGAGCTGCTTCATCCGGGACCTAAGACCACCCCACCTGTAAGATGCTCTTCTTGATATACAAACTCCCGGGCTCCACCAGATCCCCAGATACAGTTTCCTGGAGGCGAGGCTAGACATTCTGGGTGACTAAGCACGTCGAAATTTAAAACCACCTGGGTCTTTTTTACTCACTGAAGGATCTGAGTCTAAGCAGCAATTGGCACAGCTCAACAAACACCTGTTGAATGAGTGACAGCCCTAAGTGGTTGGAGCCTTTAGAGGCTCTAATTACTGATCTCTGTTAGACCATCTAATTTAGCATGCTGTTACAAAAACTGGTAAAATGTCCTATCCCCCAAGGACATTTCTAGACTGGTAGGGGTGAAGAGGGGGGGGGAGGGGAGAGGGGAGGAGGGGCAGCCTCAGCAAATTGTCTCACCTTAGCAGCCCTCTCTGCCTGGACTGAACTGCCAAAGTCAGGACAGAGCCAGTAGCAAACCTCACAGCTCTGCCCTCTTAAAAAGGGAAGGGAGGGATTTGTTAACTTAGGAGTTAGACCCTAAATTCAGCATGCGAGTTTGTCGCTCTGTTGGTAATGGAAGCTGGGGATACTTCTGTAAGCTTCCCAGTTTAATTCCAAAGGTGAAATAGTCAAGTGATCCAAATCCTTCCCGAATCATTCAAACCCCGGGAAAGAACACAAAAGAAAATGCCTTACTGCTCGAAAGATATATTAAGCACCCCGTCTCTTCACTTGGCAGCCAGAGAACTTAAGGATAGCCTGAGATGCTGAGGCAGGGTTGAGATTCTGAGGGCGGCTTGGACTACACAGTAACACCTGAGGGGTTGGAGGGAAGGTGGAAAGAGAGGAGAGGGGTCCACCACATCCCGAAAGAGAGTAGATAAAGAGAAGTATCCGACTGCATAGTATACATAGAGTGAAATATTTACTGTTCAGCAACGTCAGGGGAAAGCAGGTGCAACAGTAGGAATGCATCTCAAACACATCGTGTGGATCCCAAGAAACCAACTCTAAATGTTGTGTGACTTCATCACTTACAGTATTTCAGAAAATACAGAGCTACAGCAAGGGAGAAGAGATTAGTGGCTGCCTGACCCAAGTTAGAAGCTGGAGACAGATTTAAATATAAGGGAATTTGGGGGATGAAGCAATGAATCTGTATCCTGATGAAATTCCCTTATATTTAATTCTATGCATGCATTCAACCTTGCAGAACTGTATGCTAAACGGAAAGGACAATGCATGCAGAATGTCATTATGTTTCATATTAAAACAGAACCCAGACATCCACAATATAAGCTCATTAGGTCTCTGAGACTTTTTCCTTGCCTTTATCAGCACGGGAAACACGTGTGAAGGTGGTCTTAGAGTATGTGAGATAGAGGGGCCACTCTTAAGCACATGGTCTATGATAAGTACATTCTATCTAGGGCCAAATGCAGCGTGTAATAACCCAGACGCTATCTTGTAGAAAATTCCTTTATTATAGTGCAAATAACTTTCAGCAGTGACATAATGTAACAACACATTTAACAACACTTTACACCACGCAGTAAATAAGAAAGTGTTTCTTTGAAAATACGTCATCCTGGGAACATTATCTTTACATTAATGCCAGAAAATGCCAAAGCTGTTTTCTCAAGGCAATAGGGCTCAATTCTGTTTTGGATATTTTCTCTTAATGCACATGGATTTGTCGTTAAGTGCATCAACAATTCTAAGAGTGATCTCTTAGGGGTTTTTTTAAAGGACCCGGCAAGATTTGAAACCGGGCTTCAAAATTTAAAAAATATTAATTTTAAGACAATTCTGGAACAGCCCAGAAAGCAGAAGTCACTTCTATTAACTTGATAAATATTTACTCCAATTTCACTGCAGATTGTCTAAAGCCTGCTTCTTATTTCCCCAGAGCCTGTTATCACTAGATTTTGGTTATTGCAAAACTAGGGCTCTGGGTGGATATAGCTCCCTGTGTATGCAAATACTTTCTCTATGGAGCTTCAAATGGCACTTTGCATCCTGAAATTCCCACCCTAGACCTCTCAGGTTGAGGACAGTGTGAACCTGTCCTTGTTTCTACCTAACCATTAGGACAGCAGGATGTGGCCTCTTATTTATTTAGCTAGTCCACAATGACCCCAACACGCCACTTAGATAGACCCCAGGAGGCTGGTCAGAGGACCCCACTGCCCTGTCGGGTGATGGTTTAACACTGGATTGGCTGCTAACGAGGTAGCTGACAGGCAGAGAGAGGAGTCACTCCCCAATCTTCCGCTGATGATATGTGATTGGCCACTCAGAAGAGCCCCCTGTGGGGAAGGGTGCTTACTACAGGAGTTGAATCCAAACAAATATATTTCAGGGTACTTTCTAGGTCTTTTGACAAACGCTCCTCAAAAGTGGCTTGTCAAACCATGAGAAATTGATCACAGGCTTAAAAAATACCTGGAGCTACAAAAGAGCTCTCCCGGCCGACTATGGCTGAGAAGCCAGTGGGAATATCAAGCTTCGTAAGATGCAGCTGTTCTCGGTGGCCGAGTCTTTGTATAGAACAGCATGGAACTGTGCTAAACAGTTTCAAAGTTGAGAAGGATCCAAATATATCATCTATAAAAAATTCATTATTTTAGCTTGCTTTATTTCTCTTAGACTTTGGTTCTGAAACACTGTCTACATTCTTGACACATGAAGATGACATGGCCACTTCAGTGCCTCTGCATGTTGTGTAAGGAAAAAAAAAACCTTAAAAGCAAAGCAGGACAAGGGGAAGCCTTAAGAAGATACATACACTGTACAAACAAAACCTAAATTATATATAAACACACCCCCACCCAGCGCCCCTTCTTCTCCCACTACAAGGCCAAAGCAATGCCAAGAGCCCTTCTCTCCAGGACCAATGCAGTGTGGGAAACACAATCCTACGATTCTAACCATCCCCACCCTCGCAGAGACATCAATAACCCGCAGCCTACCACTAGAGACAGCTTCGCTTTGATTAGTCCCGCAAGCACAGAGAAGCAGTTTCACCGGAAGCATGAACACTACTGGCTGGACTCAAAGACCTGAAATCGCAAGACTTAATCTCTCAGATGACCTAACCGGATCCCACCTTTGCCCATCATCTCCTCAGAAGCTCCAAAGGCATTGCTTAGGGATACTGGGGAGGGTCTCAGAAGAAAAATTATACAATGAGCTAACAGCTAAGTTGATATAAATTATTTCCTAGTAAGTAATTTGGGCCAATTTGCTTCTGCCTTACACTATGTTCTGGAATCATTTTCATAGTATACTATTAAAAAATTGATATAATAGTTATTTTTAAAGTTGTCTATGCAATCACCTCTTATATGCTTTCCATTATTTTTACAACTTAATGAGCTATTGTGTAAATCTAGGGAGTAGTTAGCCTTAAGGAAGCCCAAACCGTGCTAATTCACAGGAAGGAGAAAAAGCAATGCAAACAAAAGTTCACATCGTCGACAAAAACTGGAGTTTTATAGAAATGCTGCAAATTTTCCCCAAAAGCACTTATAGCAATTTAAGTCAGAAAGCCAAAGTTGAGGGAGTGGAGAGTATGCTCAAATTCTTTAAGGTATAAATCCACTTGTTTATGCTTGGAATACATAATCTTCCTCCTCAGACCTAAGTTCATCATCTGGAGACATTGCTCATCCTCTAGGACATGAATACATACACTGAATATAAATAAATAACGGAGGAAGTGTAAGAATCCAGGTTAACATGATGCTGTGCAAACAAACAGAAAGAACCCAAAACAACCCCCAAGAAAGCATAAGAAACCAAACCTTGCACAATCTACATTCTATGTAAATACCCTGACTAAAATGTAGGTTGTGCTACGCAATTCCACTTTCGTGCAGAAAATGCATAGATCTGATGTACCGTTGTTGTTTTTTAAGGTCTTTAGCACTTTTGTTCCTAAATATCATCTTGCTCTGAAATGATGAATAATTGCTACCAAATCACAAATCAGATCACAAATCCGTTTTAGTTTAGTCTGAATAAAATCCAGCATAAATGTATTACTTTGTTCTGGGCACGATGGCTCGATGTCTTTCTGGCGAGCTTTCTTCCAGAGGAAGCTGTCATTCTGGACTTACACTGCACGAAGTCTGCCTTTCGTTTTTGTTTTCTTTCTAAGTCTCCAGATTTTGCTAGGACACTTCTCTCAGACAGTCATGTAGTTGTGGCACCTGATCGGATTTGAAATAGAAGCGCTCTGAACATCAGCCAAGCTTGGTGATCTGGAGGTCCCCATTGATCTTTATGGTATCAATTGCAGATAATGTTTGAATACGATGGTAAAAATCAAAAAGTTGGTGTCCATCCACAAATACTCTGAAACGTGGGTGCTCACAAAGAATCTCCACCTAGAAGAAACAAAATAATAATTTAATGCACAATTTTGGATGAATGCTGCTGGAGGGAGAAAAAAAAAAACAACCCAACACTAAACACATACTTCATTGTGGAGAAAAAAAGGCCACATCCCCAGTGAATCTCAAACATCACAAGATGCAGAAAGCAGTACAGACTGCTGGGTTCAACTCCTCCAACTCTCAACTCAGGAAGCCCAGAACACAGTTCAAAAGCTGCTGCGTTCTCACCAGAGCCAAGGAAGGGATGAGGTGCTGGAGCAGGGAACCCGCTTTGAGAACCACCGCTCTGTATCAGAGGCTGTGACAGCTCCTTCTACACTTCGTGCAGAAGTATAAAGGGGCACAGGTCTGTTTATATAACACTTGGTGCCTTCAAGTCGCTTGCTGAACAGTTCCACCCACCTACAGGGGAGCCTCTCCTGCTGCATGACTGGTAGCCATTAACAGCATCTAATAATAGCCTAGACAAACATGGTAAACACTACGGCGGGGGGGGGGGGGGCTGCACAGCAATTACCACCAGACCAAGAATGTGTGTGTAACAAGGTTTACTTAGCCAAACAAACATGATCTCACACAGTAAACCCTTGGAGACTCCATGTGTGGTATTAGTCACATTTAATTCATATTACTGTTCAAATTATATCATCAAGAAGTTCTATTTCATTCCTTTTGTTGTTGGGAAGCACTGTATTCCTCCTAGTGAAAAGCTCGTAATCACAAACTATATGTGAAGATTTACCATCTGAGATAGCTCAGTTGGTGAAGCGCTTTGGCTTGCAAGGAAGAGGACCCACATTTAATTCTCTTCTCCCCCAAACTCTCCTCGAAATGTCAGATCCTGAGTGTGCCTGTTATATCAGTGGTAGATATGGGGGGGGGGGGG